ATGAATATGATGTTGACTTCGGTGTATATCGTATTTATATCATTCTAAGCATGGATTACTTAGTATGCGGATCGAAATGATCTTTCTGTGATTGGTTGAATGTGTAGACATAGTAAATAATTCATCAAAGATCATATGGAAATAAGATCGGGTGTCAGGAAGGGTTTTTGCTATTGGTGGATTGTGATCCTTATTGTGCAGTGACCGAAGTATAAATTTTTTGGCGCTTGATTATTTCGACATCTTGACTTTCGTAAAGCAAACCGAAAATCTATCGTAAAAAATGTCTGGTCGTGGTAAAGGTAAAGCAAAGGGCACCAAGTCCAAAACTCGATCATCCCGTGCAGGGCTTCAGTTCCCAGTCGGTCGTATCCATCGTCTTCTCCGCAAGGGCAACTATGCTCAACGTGTTGGTGCTGGTGCTCCAGTCTACATGGCTGCAGTTCTCGAGTATCTGAGCGCTGAGATCCTCGAGTTGGCCGGTAACGCTGCCCGCGACAACAAGAAATCCAGAATCATCCCCCGTCACTTGCAGTTGGCAGTCAGAAACGACGAGGAGTTGAACAAGCTTCTTGGTGGAGTCACCATTGCTCAAGGTGGTGTTCTTCCCAACATCCAAGCTGTTCTTCTTCCCAAGAAGGCCGAAAAGAAAAGCTCGTAAACAGTTCTAAACTGTTTGCAAAACACAAAACAACGGCTCTTTTAGGAGCCACGACATGATAACAAAGATCATGATCTTATGCTAAATGAAAAACCCAAAATACAGTTATTAAGACAATTATTTTAAAAACAGTTGTAAGTAAGTAAAGACCGCGTAAATATTAATAAGGTTTAGTTAATAACGTTCTAAACGTTGTTATTTTGGGGGGTGAAGAAGGTGATTAAACTGAATAAGTGTGTCATATGATAGTATAGACACTATAAACTCTAAAAGCAAGGAAACACTCGGCTATGTCTCATGTTCCTAAACATGCTACTCTCATGTCCTACATCTTCCAGCATGTTTACATCACAGTACAAAGACATAAGCAGCCGTTTTATAGAGTGAAGGCATTACCCGTGTAATAGTCATTGCATAGAGAGTCTGAACCCAGGTGAACGAATGTTAATCGAAGTATTATGATCATCCGCGTGGATGTAATCCTGAGAAGGACTGTTTGATGTGACTGATGCTTCAACAACTTGAGTTGAAGTTATCTTCAGAGAGTGAAGTGAAGAATAAAGTCAGATTGGTCATATTTATACTGTAAATAGTCAAATAGACAAAAAAGAAAACGATAGAWTTAAGTTTCTAGTACTGGTGTATTAGTCTAATATCTATTTCACGGATTTAATGACTTCATGATCACTCTATTGCTTTTATAAAATAAGCCAATCATAATTGTTTTAGTTACGTTATACATATTTTTGTTGGTTTTCCTAGCTCTTTTTCCTTTATTTCGTTTGACAGTGATTCACACCTTGACATTTTGAGATAATTTGATTCTATCATGAAGGAGAAAGAGGAAAGAGTATATGTGAAAATCAGGATTTAGTTACAAATTACGTTAATGTATTTATCCACAGGAAGCAGTAAAGCTGTAATCAAGTTTGTTGATCCTGAAGTCTTGATGAAAGAACGTCAGCAACAACTAGAGGTATCATTTTCTGACATGAATGGACAAGTTATGACTAGGCTCTGTAGCTAGCCCTAGGGTATAAGGAGAATGTCACTCGGTGCCCTGATCCCCCATATTCTAGGGATGGGTATCACTTGAGAGAGGAAGAAGAGGGTTCCCAAGGTCAGGGAAAAGTCAGTGAACTCTGAATTTTTTTGCGAGGGCAGGGAATTGTTAGGGAATTTTGATTTTGGTCAGGGAAATTTACAATTTATTAAAAAGTCATCATTCTCAAATTGAATCGTTTTGGTGATAATTATGTAATTTCACTCCAAAACCAAAAATTCCCAAAGGTTCCCGACATTATCGATATATGTGGTATCTTTCTTTATGTGGATTTCCTGTGGTGAAACGTGAAGAGATGAATTTGGTACCAGTTCATTTATTTTGTAATTCAAAACGTATAGATTTATAGTTATTTTACATTAAAATGACTAAACAGAAATGTGCCTCTTGGTCATTGAAAAATTGATTTTGTTCAGGGAAAAGTCAGGGAAAAGTCAGGGAAAAGTCAGGGAAAAGTCAGGGAAAAGTCAGGGAATTTTCCTTTTTCAGATGAGTGAGAACCCTGAATAAGAGAAAAAACATTTGCTTCTCTCCCGTGCTTCAAGGGTATTTCTCGAGGCTCTCCAGGTTTTCCAGTTTCCCTCAGTTTTCCCACAAAAATCAATTCCATCAAAAAATTTAAACAGAAGTCCCTGGCTTGGGAGACTTATCAATCACACTCTGCATAATCAGTTTAAAACAAATTTACATTTCTACATTTTTGTGCCAAAAAAATACAGTTGGCTTGGGATTTGTCCGGTGCACCTAGGGACATAGCTACTTCACAGGCTACTAGGTATACCCCCTGGATCCACCCCTGCACTTACACAGCACCATTCCTTTGAATGGGGAATTACATACATATTTTCCATAACCACATTCATTTGCGAATCGTACTAAAAAAGAATTTTGAAATTCTTATTTCCAACATTTCCAGGAACAAGAAAGTAAGAGGAAGCAAAAGGAAGAAGCTAAAAGAAAATTGGAAGAAGAAAAAGTAAGTTTGGTGCAAATTCCATTATCAATTTTAAGAGTTACAGTGCGACGAGCAAAAGTATGACCACATTTAATGTATCRGTGTACTCATATACACAGGCTTTTTACTGCCAAAAGAGCTTTTACATACCTTTTTTGGTCAAACCAGCCAGTTTTGCATGGGAGTGTGTCGGTTTAACATACAAAAACCAGTACATAAAAAAGTATGAGAAAATATTATCCATAACCTAGGTACACAAACTGAAAATGATCTAAATCCATAATTTTATTATTTATATTTCGGCTGTTCTCAATAAAAGCTAATCTATCGCCTCAAGGCCGTAGCCACCAATACGGTTGTTCCGAATTTAACCGCACCATGTTTTACCTTCAGAACCATTTTTCCACTTCTGAAAAAATATTTATTACGCATGTAAATAAAAAACAGGACTGCCCTTTTTATTGCTCCTTAAGATAAAGAGGGCACAAAGGGTCTTTTGGTGACCATTAGTGAGAGGAAAAAACAAATTTGGTGCACCCAACAGCCCAACTCCCATCACAATCCCATAACTATTTTTTGTCTGAATTCAYTACTAAAGTATCCCATAATTTTGCCAGGCTGCCAAAGAAGCAAAGGCTAAAATTGCGCCATGGGATATGTTCAAGCAGGAAACTGATAAGTACTCTATCTTCGATGAACAGGTTTGTATCATTTATCTGCAGACAAGGGTGGGTCCAGGGGGAGAATTGGGTAGCTAGCTACATCCCTAAGATTCATGTAAAATATATACACCTATTTCAGAAATCGTTGTCGCACCAAGAGCCTCAAGTAACAAGCCAAGGCTCCAGAGAACGTCAGTACTTTCAATTATAATCTATTTATTCATGGTTCATGCAAGTGGCTATAGCTCTCCACTAATTATCATCTCAAGCAGCCTTGCTTGGAGCAATTTGAGAAGTCAATAAATGAAAATGCTCCATGAATAAACTAATTACAGCTATAAAAGTACCAGCGTTCTCTGCGGTCTTGGCTTGTTTCTTGAGGCTATTGGTGCGACAACGATTTCTGAAATAGGTGTATAATGGCTTTCTAGCCAACAGCCAACCCCTTGAAATCATCCTGGATCTACCAACCAAGCCCCTTCAAGTGTAATGTAAAATGTATCCTATGAGCGCTCTATGCAGCCAGATTCAGATGTACAAAATTTCCATTGCCAACCTCCTATCCCTATGTAGACACACAAGAGGCACCCCAGCTATTGACTGCTCCTATAGACCTCTTGCAGCACGTCAGAATGCAGCTCAATTTGGATGACACAACAGGAGGGTTTTCAATTCTCAGGAGATTGAAATCTTTTTGTTTTGCCCTTAAAGTTGAGCTGCTTTGATGTCACATTCAAGAAGTCTATATTCTATAAGTGCTTTATGCAGGCTTACAAGAGTTCTGGTGCCAAGCCCCTATCCCCTCAACCACCTAGCCACTCTCCCACCCACCCAAGCAATAAAGTCTTATATTAGCCCCTTTCTTTTACAAGTATTTGAATGGCACTAATTTCTCCCCTTTTTTTCTAGCCTTTTTGAAGCTTCTTCTTTTCTTCCCTCTATTTCCCACCCCCTCCCCTCTAAAATTCCACCACCCTCGTTCTGTAGCCTAGCCTCCTTCGAAGAAAGTGTTAGGGTCGTCAGTCAACGCTTCTCTTGCGTGACGACCCTAACAACGTCTGTGAAGGAGGCTACCTGTAGCCCTTCGTAAACTTCAAGGTAGAATGACCCCTTATTTCTTGTTCCTCTAATCGTCGACAATCTTATCCCCAGGGTATACCGACCCACGACGCCCAAGGGGAACCAATAAGCGCCAAGCAAATTAAAAAGCTTAAAAAGCTGTACCAACAACAGGAAAAACTCTACAACAGCAAGGGGCCTGGGGCCAGTAAAGAGAATGGGTCCGCCAATGGTGGATCATAAAATTATCACGTAACCGTTGGATCAGGCGAGATTAGGTGTGATTAGGTGAGATTTGGACCAGCAACAGGCCTGGCCAGAAGTTCATAATTAGATCTAGTTATGAACTTCTGGCCTGGATGAGGTTAAAAGAAAACAGACCTCTTCACCTTGGGTTTAATACTTTCCATTTTCAGACCACATGTCATTCCCTTAAATATAATTCCTTCGTTTAGCGATTGCGTAGGAGAAGACAAGTGAATGTGGATGCATCTCAAACGAAAAATCTTATTCTGAAGAGAATGACACGTGTTTTGAAATGGGGGAAACATTACGCCCAAGGTAAAGTGGTCTATTAGTGGCCATTTAGTGAAAGTAGGTTGACCGTAGTGCTAGGAACAATTCTTCTCTTCCTTCCGCAGTGGACACCAGAAACAAAAGAGTTAACCCTAACAATAGGATCATCCTACCTAAATGTAAACGACCTCTTTGAACAAAATGCGTATGACTCCAAAAAACCGTGCATGACAGAGTTGTGATTGCGTGACCTTTCAAGGCATGGCCTCTCTATGTTGGCCAATATCAAAAGAGCCGATTCGATAATCTGCGGGGCAGGGTGACTACGAATTAAACTTAATCTTAATAACCTAAAAATAAATTCTCATTGACATCAAATCCTCAAAAAAAWTTTTTGGTTTCAATAAATCCCGAATATAGTTACTTATTTAAATGTGATTTATTTTATCGAATGCGCAGGGAATGATTGAATCTCTCGAGCGAGATACTCATTACCATCTTTTTAAAGTAATCGACGCCAGATTGAATTGCAATTTAAAACATAGTTAGGTTGATTTTTAGATTGAAATTGGAGAATATTTCTTTCCATTTAGTTTTTGTCTCAAACTTCGTGGCTTGTAACGTTTCAAAAATATGCCCGCAAAAAAAAAAAAATATATATATATATATTTTACTATAT